TCCCTAGCTTGAACCCCACTGTGATCATACACTAAAGTACGGTGGCGTCCAAAGGGAAAGAAGATAGAGCAAAAGAGTCGACAACAAGTTTTAGGAACTTGTAAACCGTTCACAGGGTGTAGGTTACACCCCTTAACGATCCAAGAGATCGTTAACTCCAATAGGGCTGGAACCATGACTGGTAGTTCGAGGATGAAGGTACAAATCCAACCTAAAAGAGATTGAACCTGCCCTAATAATGGACCTCTACTTTATTCTGATTGTATTCATGTGCTCTTTCTGACTAACATGCAATCAATAAGATTAACCCTAAACATGTTTATCTATGTTGGTTGAATATTAATGCACAAATAAAACTATTATTGGCGATCACTTGAATTATAATCATACTAACCCTAAACAAGATTATTAATTATCTTATTAAGCATGATTACAGGTACCAATTCCTTTTAAACATGCATAAAAGGCGTGATCAAGCAATAACAATAAATATCAAGCAAAAAAATAATAATAATAAATTATAATCATAATAATCAAAACAATAATCATCATAATAATAATTATAATAATCATAATCATATTAATCATGTTAAAGCATAATAATAGCAAGACCCTAGGCATGATACTAACAAGATTAATAAAAAACTCTAGCATGTCACTAAACATTAAAAAATCAAAGCTTTAACCCTAACATGATACTAACATGCTATTAGGAAAAAAAATAGGAAGCATCGCAGGAATCATAATTGACATTATATTATTTACCCTAAACATGATACTAGGAACTTATTGTTGTCATTCAAAACATCAAGCATCCTAACATGATACTAGGAATTATAATAACAACCTAAGCATGATTTCTATATCATAATATCAATGCAAACAATTAAAGCACTTACTTGGATGGCTCGTATCTCTTTCTAATAACAAAATACACGCGTTAGTAACTTCAAGGAAAATAATAAACAAAAAATTAAATTAAATAATTGAAAGAGATATTTGGGACCAAACCCTCATAAATATCAAACCTTTCACGTCTAGGGCGAAGGCAAATTCGAACTTGGCTATGTGTGTCTAGTGCTAATGTATGAGGAATTGTGTTTGTAAAAGGGTTGGTTTAGAAAGAGAGAGAGAATCAAAAATTTCTTGATGAGAGTTGATGATTGAAAAAGGGGAGATATCACCTCTATTTATAAAGAAAACAGAGGGTCGAAGAATAAGAAAAGAATATGAATTCGAATCGAAATAAAACTCGATGGACAGCAGTTTTTGCAGATTTTGTTTTTATCATATCTTTTGATCCAGAAGTCCAAATAAGGCATATAATATGTCGTTGGAAATCTCTTAAAGTCTACTTTCCAACCCAATTAGAATCAGATTAAAATATGTTGTTGATAAAAAGATATGGCCGAAATATTAGGACAGTGTCAGTTTTGGATAGAGTTTCATATCTTATTCATATTTTTTTCGTTATAACTTGGATTTAATATTATAATTTATCTTTGGAAAGATAATTTCAAGATCTATCCAACCATATAAAATTTGGATAAAGATTATGAGGCACGAAAATAAAATATGACTGTCTTTCAACATCTTTAAATTCGAATAGAATTATGATTTAAGAAAAAGGAAAGTTTTAAAAAAGGAAAGTTTTTATTTAACTCAAATTCTTTAATCTTATCTTTTCAAAAAGGATAATTAAGATCTTTTAAAAACTAATAGAAGCTTCTAATTAATCCTAATTAGTTTAGGAATAGGATTAAACCTTTGGACCCTCCACATGATCACTGGGCCGTAGGTAAAATCCGGTTTGGGCCCAGTTTAGTATTTTGGCCATAATTTCCTCATTATTCATCGGAATTGGGCTTATAACATATCGTTGGAAAGGTCTTTTCAAGAACCATCCAACTAAACCACTATTGGACCCATATCATGGACACAACTAAACTGGAATGCACGTTTTTCAAAAATAAGGTAAGTAAAGAAATATTTTCAAAAACAGAAAGAAGTGATATTTCAATAAAAACATCCTCATCACTAGACTTTTCACACTTTTTCTTTGTTTGATAATCAAATGAAATGAAAGGTATTCATCACTGGGTTTGGTTTTGAGGAGATACATTTGGGTGTCTACACTTACCCTAACTTTTTAAATTTTTATGATCCATATAATCATAGCTTTTATCTTTCTCAAATCATAGGCTTTCAACTTGAATCATCCATGTCTACTATAATAATTGAATCCCCTAAAGGTGAAAAAGCAGCTGCTCTCACTTAATGGTATGCTACTTAGCATATATCTCTTAAATGAACTAATAACAAATATCTAAGCTTCATTCACGCTAATGAAATCTCTCAATAACAGGGCAAGAAATCATCGTACTGTTCTTATTAAACATCATAATAGAGTTACAGCTGCATGGAATCCACCTGCAGAAAGAACTTTGACAACAATAGCTCACATCAAAACCAAAAAGGTAGACTTATATTGTAAAGCATTGCTATGCAGCCACTATATACTATGCATTGTTTTAGGTTACTAGCTTTGAGATAGTTTATGCTTATATGCTTTTAAAGTCAGGACATTAAATGCCGAGATTATGCTAATATTTATATTGATAATGCAGGCTGCAAAAACCCTTCCACAAGAGATTTAGTGGCTTAGAGTTACAACATCAGATAATCAATACGACATACTTAGAACATACATAAGGTGTTCTTACTATGGAAGGCGAACACATCTACCAATTGGAGCAGTTTATGAATGTGTAGCTTGTGAGAGAAATGAAGTATCTGCTACATACCGGTACAAACCACCAACAAATTACCTTAAATAAGAAAAACAATATATCCTAAGAACTTAACTAACACAAATTCTTCAAAATTTGCAGAGCTACTATAACTTTCACTGCTTCAGATGGAATAGGAGCACTGTAGCTTACTACATTCACTGAAAACTCAGTCCCACTGCTTGGCATGTCAGCTGCAGATATCTACCATATGAAGGCACTGGTAAATAGTCCACAACTCTGACTTTAAATCAATAGTTGTTTGTCTGTGTTATTGCTTCTCAATTTCACACAACATATCTGCTGCTACAATGCTACATTCCTGTATTTCAACTACCCAAACAAGCTACCATTTAATATTAGCAAAATTGGTTTGACATTATTAAATTAAGTTTCACATAATTAGCTTTCATTTTCACTTAAAATCTATCCATGTTTCAGGATGATACTACCAAGTTCAGCCAAATAGCTAATAGGCTACGTAGTACATACTTCTTGCTTAAGATTGGGCCTACAATTGCTCTAGAGCAGAACAAAGTGCTGCAATGGGGCATAAAAGGTGTGGAGATGGAAGACACTATCACAACTGATGATGCAGGGACTACTTCTGTACCTGTTCCTACAGGGTCTGGTTCTAAAAGAACATGAACAAAAGGCGATACAAAAGGGGGTGAAACTAAGGAGGACTCTACATGTGCAGCCAAACATGGGCAAAACATCAGCAAGACCATAAAAAAAAAAAGAAACAGTTGAAGCTTACGACTTATCAATCTTCAGCCAAGAAGAAGAGGATGCTTGCTTATTGGTAGAATCAATGGTTGCAGCACAGAAAGCAACTCAATCAACCACAGAAGATTCTGGATCCAAAAGGAAAAGACTCGATTCTAGTGATGAATCTGAAACTGCTACACCAGAAAAAGATGTCCTTAAACAACAAGTGGAGTCAACAATCAAGGCTGCAAGCATCATGAAAGAGAAAGAAAGCACTCCAGGCTATTGTGCAGTACTTAAGGGTAAAGATGTTGCCTGCGACATAGACACCATTTCAGCTGAAGCAACGGTAACAGTAAACCAGGAAAAGGACATCAAACGACGAGCCCTCGTGTTAGAGGATGACACCTCTAATGAGCTTTAGGGAAAAAAACAGTCCGGACAGATCGGTTGGGTAACAGCTTCACTTATTGAATCTTTTTCTATGTACATACCTATTAAGGGTATGCGTAAGTATTATGTATCATGTGGCTATTATAAAAGACAAGTATGATCAGCCTGCTTGTCTTAGAATAATACCACATATATAAGAACAATATCAGTTATGGTTAAAGCTTTTGAAGCCTATGGTCTTGGAAAGGAACAAGCCTTGTAAAAATACTTGTTCCTATACAACACCAACTGCTAAAGTGTCAGCTTTGACACGCGATATAATCAAGCTAGCTTTTGTTGTCTGATTGGTTAGATAAGCCACGGAACCAATCAGACATAATGAACTTATATAGGAACAAGTCTACTATAGCACTTGTTCTCATATAAGACTGCATCCTAACATAATCTTTTGCTATCTACTTGATTGGTACTGTGTATCTAGAATATTAAAAGAATTAGGCTTTGTGTTCCTGTTATTGTAATCAGTAGTTGTCTACTTATGATATCAGGATAATGTGATGTGTTATTATGGCTAAATATTTTCATCTATCTCCTTTATCTTACTTTGGGAATCATATAACTTATAGGCTATTATTCTTTACCGCATTTATCCAAATCTTCGACCCAACATTGATTGATCAGTACCAACATAAGCCAAAATCTTTGAAACAAAACATAGGCATTATAAATGACACACAACAATTTAAAACAAAGCATAAAATATAACAATAACCCTTGACGACTAATTACATAGATAGAAGATTCATAAACCATAGATAATGTCATATTTCAATAATTACAAGATCCTATTTTCCAAACTACTTGCACACATAAACAAAATATTTATTGTTCTGAATTTTCTTCCATAACCTAACACCCAAAAAAAAAAACAAAAAAAAAAAAAAAAAAAAAAAAAAAAAACAAAGTAGATTTCCATACCAGAATCTAACACCCCAAATAACTCTAATAGTCTATAAATTTATACTACCATATATAGACTTCAGCCCAAAAAAACCTACAACAGCAAACAAAATGCTTCTCCTAAACTAAGTTTCCCACACCAGGGTTTCAATCAGAAATTCTCATAGCAAACATAGATGAATCTTCACTTGTTACTTGACTTCTTTCATTGTTGTTCCCAAAATCAGAAGACAACCCACTATCATCATCATCATAATAATCATCACTGCCTGATTCAACTGATACATCTGATTCTACAACCAATTCTTTCTCACTCTTAGTTTCTGAATCAGAATCTGCATCACTTTTAGCATCTTCATCGGTTTCCTCATCTTCCTCCGTCTCATCATCTTCCTCAGTCTCATCATCGTCCTCCGTCTCATCATCTTCCTTTTCCCCATCTTTCTCAGCTATATCCTCCTTTTCTTTCTCTTTTGCCTCACCACCTTCCTTCTCGCCATCTTTTTCAGCCTCATCCTCCTGTTTCTCTTCTGCCTCGCCTCCTTTATTAGTCTTTTTTTCATCATCGTCGTTATCTGTGTCAACGATAATGACAGGCCATTCTCCACAGTCATTCTTTTCGACTTCTCGCTTTCTTTTTCTGCTGGGTTCTCCTTTTTCTTTTCTACTCTTAGTTTTTGACATACCTTGCTGCAAAACCTCTAAGTGAATGTTCATCTTCTTCTTCATATCTGTGACATACTCAAGAAAGCTTGCAACATTTTCTTCAGGAGACTTCGACACATTAGGCCTCCAGATTCTAGGTGCGAATACTTTTCCAGAGGTGGCAGTACTATCCGTGCTACCCATTGTTGTTGGCAAGAAATTAAAATGAAAACGCTTTGAGAAAAAAAAATGGAAAGACAAAAGAGACAATGAAAGACGGAATAGCAGAGCAAAGCATGTAATATACACCACGCAAAAGACCTTACCCAATTGACCAATCCAAATCAATTCTTAAGCAATTATGACAAAATCTAAAAAGAATATAAAACTCATCAGTTACAAAGTACACCTTTCCAACTTCTTCACATCAAAATGTCCTGTTCCGTAACTGTACATACATTAAAATATTCTATAAATAGAAATCGACTTTTTGTAAATTCCCTTATATGCATAGTATATATACACACGTGTATTGCTCGTGTTGTCTAAGTTTAATTTTTATCACTATTTAACATGAATATAACTAATTTAAAATACAAAATTACACCCAACCCCACAAAATTAAAACGATTTAGAACTCGGCACTTTCATAATCAATAAAACTCGCTATATACTAATCTTTAGACGAACAGATATAACCAAATTACTAAGCTCGTATTTATCAAAAGTTACATATTGCGAGAACAGCACATATCATAATTGAATCTACCTAACAATCTAGATTTTAATATGATCTAATAATTAGTATCCAATACAAAATCAAATACTACTATACACATAAATTTAGCAATATCATTAACAACACACATTCTGTGTTTATTGGGCTATCGCGCCCGTGGCGCGCATGGCTCAACTAGTATATAGAAAAGCTTGAAGTCAAGGGGGTCGTTGATGAGAGAAAGAGTAGAACTTAAGGAAGAAAGGTGGGTAATCCGTAAGACCTTGGAGAAGAAATGGTTGAAAAAAAAATTTAAAAAATGGAAAAAAAAAAAAAACCAAGTTTTTGGAAAATTTTTGAGGAATAAGTCAACCTATTGATAAACTAAAAATAAGTCGACCTTTATAAAGTATCTTCTCAAAATGAGTCATAACCTATTGATATTTGGGATATCCGGTTGTTTCAATAAATTATGCCATGTGTCATTTTGTGGTTGACTCGATATGTAAATTTTTCTTTTTAGTATTTTTGATTAATTATTTAAAATTTGTCAAGAACTTGCCGTGTAAAATATGGTAATAAAGTCATTCATTGAGTCCCAAGAAATCCGACTTAAGTTAATTTCTTCCACTGGTTTATTTTCTAGTCCAATTTTCAATGGTTCTGACTTATTCAACGAGGTCAAATGGGTTGGTTTTGAGGTTTATTTAAGGATTTAGGGCGGAGTTATGTGGCTGGGTAAGGGGAGGAGGGTTGACGCAGTACAAAGGAAGGGGACAGGGGAAAGGCGTGGTGTCGGGGTGGGGGAAGCGAGAAAGGAAAAGGGAGGGGCATGAGGGTTGTTGTAACACCCTAGAAATTCCTTTTCTTTAAATATCCATTCTACACTTTAAAATACGATTTAGGAATATATAAGACATTACCGCCATCGTGAAAACGGTTAAGGCAAATATTAAAGATACACAACGGAAGATTTAAAATTAAAAACCGTTTAAACAAGTCAACTCAAAAGTCCACCAAACGAAAGTAAAGTTTAAAACCAAACAAACAAAGTCAAATAAAATCAAACTACAACTTGGAACCATTAAAGGCCCTTATTCAAAAACGTTCCAAAACCAAACATTTGTGTTAGTCCACATAAAATATGTCATAAATAAATAAAGCATAAAACACATCGTAACCTAATGAAAGCTAGCAAGATTCACTCTTCTCTCATGCCCCATCATGATTATGCTTCAGTACCTGAAAAGTTTATCTCCACTTGTTTCCACTACTCTCCAATAAAAAATGGGTCATCATAGGGCCAAGGTAAAGACATGGACAAACACACAAACACACACAATCAGCAAAGCTGAGTACATAAGCGTAAATTAAACACGCTAACATGCTTTCACCTATCAACACACTTACCTCATTGCACCTGTTTACAAGCACACACATCAATCAACAAAACACAACGACTAGACACTAAATAATTCATTTAGCGTTAATTACGCATCAAACGGGTTTCCAACTATCCTCCCCAAATAAATTGAGGTTAACTGACACGGGAGCTAACCGTGTCAACGACAAAACCACTCAAGGTGGCGGAATTCCTGCACATAATGATAAATAAAAAGGAATGTACAGCGTCCTGTACTCCATTAGAAGTTATGGTTAAATATAAAACCCCATAACTCCCCCCCATTGTTCATACTCAAGGTATATACGTTCCAAGAGTTTTGGTGCGTAATCTCTTTCACTTTACGTTATTTACCCTTTTATTGGACTTGATGATGACTCTCAAAGCATCATAAAACAATCAACAATAATTATTCAATCAACCAAACATACCAAATTAATTCTTGAATAATTAGTGACCACATATTATTTAATGTTGAACCCTTTTTATTCTACCTCATTGTCAAAGACACCTTAAACGCATAATGCGCCAAAAATCCTATCCCTCGGTGTTAAAAACACCTTAAGTGCACAAAGGCACCAACATACAATTTATTCTTTGTGTACATAGACACTTATATAGCTCCTTCCTCATGCTTAAAGCATCAATAAAAATTATTTGAACCATAATAAAATTCCTTTTCAATATTCCAAACATAATTAAACATGTAGTTTAATTAATCATGCCTTCTAACATGCCATAAATAAAAGTGTGGTTCAAACACAACATGCCCAAAATATAATTTTCCAATCCATAACCATCACAAATAATTCATGCTTCACAATTCATCACCAACACCATTAATTCACAATTCCATACATAAAACTTAGCATGATACTACTTGTAATTGATTGAAATCAAGCCTATCATGATTCTACATCATCAAAATATGCTAAGTACGCGTACGTACCTTGAGTACGATTTTAAAATTGCCACGGCTAGTAGAAATTGCTTACTTCAAAGTCTCCTACACATAAAATTCATAATAGAGTATTAATATCCACTCTAAGCAAATTTCCAGCAATATATACTATTTTAAAACCCCTCATAATTTAATTAAAGTAAGCTGAAATTATATTTAAAACACCATAATTAAGTCCCAATTAATGGGTAATTAAAATTCCTTTAAGAAACATAATATTAAGTGTTCTACATAAAATTCCAGCACTTTATTATAATTAAAACTTGCTGTAATTAAGCTTTAAAACACTTAAAACAAAGGTCTACCCCATTATACATCATAATCCTTCAATAACTCATGAATCAAGAACCTAAGGTTTCAAAAATTGGGGCTTTTTAATTAAAAACCAAATCTGAAAATTAATTAACATAATTACAATAATCAAACATCAAAATTAAATCTCCAAACTCATAATTTACAATTATATTAAAGCCTAGATTAGATTTGGGTAAGAAAGATTTGATTTTTAAAACTTTTTATTTTCAAAGGAGGTGACTACCGACAGCAGGTCGACGCCACTACCGGCTGCTGCCAGCGCCGGTGGTCTCCGCTGGTGCTGGCGGCCCACCAGTGGTGGTGGTCGCCGGTGGTGGTGGTGCGCAACAAGAAGGGGAAGGGAAGAAGAGAGAAAAAAGAAAAGAAAGAAGAAAATAAAGAGAAAAGGGAGAGAAGTTTACCTTGGGTTTTCTCCACTCTGGGCAAAGTTGAATTGCCTCATAAGAGGAATATTTATACCCCTTCTCTATCACCCCTTTTACCCTAAACTTTCCTCCTTTAGTTTTTCCTAATCCCTTCCCTACTAAAACTTGTTAAAAACATAATTTCTTAAAATAAAACCCCAACTTCTATTTAATAATTAATTAAACAAACTTTCCTTTAATAAAATATTCCCATCTTACATGGGATAAATAATTAAAACATCATAATTAAAATACTAAAATTATTTAAATACCCTTATAAAATACATATTTTAAATAAAAAACGTATAAAAATAAGGGGTATTACAGTTGTAGAATGAGGGAAGGGTGGAGGTGGTAGGGTCGCCGGCACCGTTGGATGGAGGTGGTCCGGTGGTAGGGGGAGGTGGGGGGAAGGGGGTAGGCAGTAGGTGGGGGAGGGGGGTGGCTGGGATTTGTTTTTTTATAATTATGAATGACATTTAATAAATATTAATAATTATTTTTAATTGAAAAAATAACTTATTTAGTAGTTTGTAGGTCATTGGATTTATTAAAAGAAAATACTTTTAAAAGTCAACTTATGTTGAGTTAATCGAAAAATTGGCTTATTTTGAGTTAATCATCAAAGGTTGGTTTATTCTTGACAAATTTTCGATTTTTTTTTTCTAAGTTGCAACATTCATGTATTTCAAGTTTCTCAATACATAATTTCAATTGTTTGTATTATTAACTCTTGATCCGCGACCGGGTCTATCATTATATTTATTCCCCGGACGGCCTTATTTGTTTACTCTGCCTATGTATTTTTGAATCATGGATTTTACTTCCAGAGCTGCGGCACTAACGACTCTATTAAAAAGTAGATCTATGAAATTTCAAGTGGATGAAATCGATCGAGTGGTTTAAGTTTGGAGATGAGATTGCATGTGTTTATGGATTGAACGAGATTTAAGCCGGAAAAATGGTGGAATTTGACAGCGGTGTAAAAGGGATTAAACTACACAACTACTCCCTAAACTTAAGACAAAGTTGCAGATGACTCACTAAACTTCCAAAACTTGCAAATCACTCACTGAACTGAGTGAGTAAACTACACAACAGTCCCTAAACTTAAGATAAAGTTGCAGATCACTCACTAAACTTCCAAAACTTGCAAATCACTCACTGAACTGACTTGTGACCTACAATAACAGGTAAAATACATGAGCTCCCTAAACTTTCTGACATGAAAATCAGAACTCCATAAACTTTCTAACATGGAAATCAGGAACTCCCTAAACTTATTTTTCAATCCTTTTTTTTTTTTAAAGAAAGTAGTCGTTAGAATACATTAACTATTTTGATACTACAAAAAAAAATAAAAAAAAATTAAAAAAAATACAAGGCAACCAACAGCTCTATATACTCTAATGCTTGTAACCATTTGTAGATCAAATCTGCAAGAAAAATTCAAGGAAAAAATTTGGTGAAAATATCTTTAGCACAAAATTTAATCAAAATAATACAGAAAATTTTAGGATTATTGCTGCAGAAGTGCAAAACAATTGTCTTAAGTAACTAAAGATCTAAAAGTTTTGTGAAAAAATTCAGAATGATGAAAAAAAAGGTAGTGAATTCTTAGTAATATAAAGATTGGGCACTTGTAAATATGTAATATGTGAGCTAGTGCCTTTTGATATTTGTCTACCGGAAAGTTAACAAGCTGAGGGAATATAGGCAAAACCTGAGAGAACAAAAAATGCACTTTTGATATAAAAAATTACATAGCCAATGCATAACACAATATATTGTAAAGAGACTAAAAGCTAAAACATTAATTCAAAGTAAATACTAAATAAACCATTTACAGTAGATTAGATGATTGGACAAAGGGAAGAGGTAATTGAGCCTTAAGAGTTCCGTATCAATTATCAACTCCAAAATTCTTCTGGCTTATAGATATAGACTTAGATCGCACATAGCCAAAGCCAAATTCATAATTTAGTGAAAATTGAAGTGCCCAAAAATTAAAAAAGATTGAAAAACAATTTACCTACTGCTAATTTGCTCTCACTAATTCGAACGGCAACAAGACCACCAAAATTCCATGCAGCCTCTATTTGTTGTTGCTGCTCCTCTCTCCAATTCACCCGCGTTAACACCATTTTTCGGCAGCAGCAACAACACAATCCCAAATCAATATCCACCGCACCAATCACCGCAGGTTTCAACAATAATTCCAGTTAGGTAACCCTAAAAAACCACCAATCGATGGTTTCAACATCAATCTAATCCCCAATTAGAAAACAAATCCGCGCTCTATCACGATCACGCAAACCCTAAAATTTATGGTCTTGCCTTTTGCTTGATTGTTGTGTTTTGTTTTTTTGACAAAATGCGTGATTGTTGTTGCTGACTTGCTATTAGATCCTTTGATTTATTTATTTTTGTAACAAAAATATAAAGTAGGGATACACACTTTAATTAAATTTTTTTTTTTAAAAAAATAGAAAGTTTAGGGAGTTTACCTGGGCTAGCAAGTTACCACCGGATAAATGACCTCCAACCACCAAATGAGTGAGTAGTTTGCAAGTTTTATAAGTTCGGTGAGTAAAGTGCAATTTTTAACTAAGTTTGGGGAGTAAGTGCGTACTTTACTCGTGTAAAAGGAATAGCTTTAAATCTTCATAATGAGAAGGTAGGGATTGTATTTATAAAAATTAGATTTAATAAATCTAACAAAAATAAAGTATTACTTGTTTCGGGGTTTTCCGATGTCCTGCGGGAGAGTTACAATTCCGAGACTGGAACCGGACGCCTGTACCTGCAAAATAACGGAGACTCCTGTGAGCTCCGCCTCCAACGGTCAAGTTAGTACCAGATTAAGGAGTAATTAATGCGGAAATTAAAGTAATAAGGTCTCTCTAGGTGAGAGTGTTTAATGTAGGTAATCTGCTTTGTTAGCGAGATCAGCCGGTTATTAGTGTGTTCCGTAATGTTTTTCGCGTGTCGTTTCTGTAATCCCCCTTAATGAGGATTAAGGGAGGTATTTATAACCTTGGGAAACGTGCCCATCCTAGGTTTAGGTAAACCTAGGGCTGATTGGGCTTCCCTCGGAAGTTGGGCCTGGGTGGCCGGGTTCTCCATTAGGCATGGAGTATGCCACATGTCGTGACATAACAGGTCCAAGGTGGACGAATAAGCGCGTGCCACGTGGCAAGTCCTGACAGTTCCAACTAGGAGACACTTGGCAGGACCTGATTGGTCCACTTGGCGCATTCCGATTGGTGGGAGCAAAATCCCCTAATCATTTGCCCTTCACAAGTGGCACGTGACTGGTCACGTGTTACCTGTGACAGGTGTCGCACAGTAACGGGCGACCACCTGCTACAGGTGTTAGTCGGCGAAAGGACGAGAGATTTTCCCGCCCAAATTTTGAATTCTGAAAGTGACCCTTCGCCTTCTCACTTCGCCTATATAAGGGAGAGTTGCCTTGAGTCATTTTCACACTTTGAGAACTATTTGAGAACATTCGGACCCCTGAACTTGCTCTGACATTTTGGACTTTTTCTGCCTACCGCCTGTTCTGACAAGCCGACTGCACCGGATTTCCAGAACTTCATCAACCGTCACTCGTTCAGGTAACTCAGTTCTCTTACTCTTAATTTTCTTTTTATTTTCTGAAATGGCACCACGGAAGCACACGACACGACCTAGGTTAGTGATCAGCCGGTCACCGGGGACGGCTGAATCTAGGACTAGGAGTGCCGCCTGCCCTTTTCCGGACCCATCTTTGCCCTTTATACAAAGTCCGACTGTATCTGTGTCTATGCAGAGCAGGATGGCCAGAACGAAAAAGACAGCTAGGATCTCAAATTCAAACGGCTCCTCCCACAGGGTGCCGATTAGTGAAACATCTGACCAGGCGCCAGATGTTGAAGTGAGACAAGGCGGCCTGGATGCCGGCAATTCTGTGGGGGGAGTCATAGTGACCCCTTCCAATTTAACAGTTAACAAATCTGCTCCTTTTCAAATAGAGGAGGTGGGCCCCTCCGGGAGAGGGGAGGAGTCGTCCTCTTCAGACTCGTCCGAGGACGATTCCTCGTCAAACTCTTCTGGCCATGCTTCTTTGGGTACAGAAGAGAAAAACAGCCGCCTGCAAGAGGCGAGACTTTCTCACACAGTTGAGAAGGGGGACAATTGGGCGGAACCATCCGCCTCTTACCGAGAGCTAAATACCCCCTACTACTGCACGGTACCTCGGGGCCGAATCAGAGCCATGCAAGAGAAAGTGGAGAGCTTTATTGCAAACCACACCATGGGCCCCGACTTTCTAGTGTTTGTGCCGGATCCAGAAGACACAGTCGTCTGGCCGGCTGGTTCCAGTTATGATAGCGCCTGCTTTGGCTGCTACGAGGCGGCCATCAAGGCAGGGCTGCGCTTCCCATTACATCCGGCTGTTCAGCGGATTTTGGATGGGTATGAGTTGGGGTTATGGCAGTTAACCCCAAACTCCTGGGTCAACGTACTCGGCTATGTGGCCGGGTGCGAACTGCACGGGGTGGAGCCGAGCTTCGAGGCTTTCGCCCATATGAACTATCTCAGCCGGACCCCTAAGACAGGCGGTACCGGCTGGTATCAATTAACAAGCCACATGGGCTACCTCGAGGCTTTCGGCCATGAGCAAAATCACCGCCTCCAAGACTGCGGCGGCCATGTTGCGGGCCTCTATTATGCAACAAGCTTCAACCGACTCCCCCAAGAAGGGGGCACCCTTGGTGAGCTCCGAACCTTTCACCCTCTTTTTGGAGTGTTTATGCATATACTGACTTTTTTCTTCTTTTTTAGACGGGTGCTCCAAGAGCTTCATCTTCTCAACAGCCGGACCCCAAGGCCCGGAAGACTACTGTTGGGAGCTCTCCTGGTTCTGCCAGGAAACAGGTGGCGGCTGAGAAACAGCCGGCCACTTCCTCTAAAACTCCAACTGGGCCGCCTAGAGGTATGAAGTTGTCCTTGTAAATTTTAGACTTGCTCCCTTTGTTACTAAGTCTAATCCGCTTGTTTATGCTTGATGCAGCCGGCCCCCAGGGGCCTGACTTGGTAGAGATGGCCAAGTCTATGATCAGGGCAGTTCCTCCGGCTGAAAGGGAGGCGGTCAGGGGTGTCGGCACCCTTGACCTTGACGGGATTGCAGGGGTCCTTGCTGAGGTATACTTAGCATATTTTTGAGTATTTGAATTTTCTGGACGCCTGTTTTCTTTTTTGTTTGGAAACGGACGCCTGTTTTTTTTGTTTTTTACTTAGGCCCTGCTCCGAGTTAACGGCCTTCGCAAGCCGCTTGATCGGAAAAACAAAGAGGTAAAGGCTGCAAAAGCTATGGGCGCCTCTGACTGTGATAAGGCAATGTTTCAAATTGCCCAAAATGAAGTACTGACCATTGATATTCTTTATTATCAGGCGCAGGCTACCGCCGCTGTTCGGGCTCAGTTAGAGGCGGCCCAGAAGAAGAATGACGAGCTGGAGGCGACCATCACAAATCTCAAGGCCGAGCTGAAACCTCTTCGCCTGAAAATGTACTCTTACGAAGCCATGGAGAAATCCTTGGCCAGCGTAAAGGAACGCCTGGTGACCCAGGAGAAGAGTCTTACCCAAGAGCTCTCGGTAAAGGCCGAGCAAGAGAAGAAAGAGCTGGTCCGGGAGATGATGGAAGACTCCGCTCAAATCCAGCGCATGACCTGGGGCCGCCTCTTCCCCAGTGCCGACTTTGCCTCTTGGGAAAGAACGTACCGCCAGTGTTCGGATACATATAATCAAGAGATCCTGGCGGCTGCTGAAGAAGAGGCGTTGGGGGAAGCGTTGGAGGAGGAGGAGCCGGTAGTGGCGCTTGTGCCGCTTGGGGGTAAGGCATCAAAAAAGGATGCAGCTGAAGCCGAGTGTAGCAAGAAGAGTGCTGACCAGGCGGTAGCTGCTAATACTGAACTGCCCCCTTCTTAAGCTTTATGTATTCTTTCCACGGCCTGCGTGCTGTTTGCTTTGTATTTACCCGGCCAGGGGGCCGGGGCTTTGAATATTTTGCTGGTCTTCAATGACCGACTTATTTTTAATGAATTTTTGTTTTGCTTCAAATTTGTCTAAGTATACCATATCTAATATCCAATTGTTTACTAGACCGACTGTTTTATATGGCCGAACGTTGCAGACAGGTACAGATAGTTAGTACGCCGCCTATGCCCCTGGACGACTGGTTGTCTGTTTCCAGGATAGACGATCAGTCGGCCATTTATCCAATCGGTATTCGAACTATTTTGTCTGGATCCTTTTTAGGCAGGCGGGCCTGTCTTTTTGTAATTTTTACCAAGTAGGAAAGTGGTCTGACCAAGTAAACATGATTGTTACCTAGTTTCCAAATAACTGAGTAGTAGAGGTATCAAGCGGTGGGTACCGCTTGTTCCCCTTTATTCGCCAATGTTTGTTGGCTTTTAACTCATTTGTTAACCTAGCAGGAGTAGTGGTTGAGAGCCCCTGTTTGCTAAAAACAGGCGGGCGACTCATACCTTTTAGGCTCCATACTAAGTTTGAGAGAGTGACTATGAGTTAACTTTGGAGTTACTCAGTCGCCGTCACTCCTGCTTGAGGAGTAAAGGTACCAGGCGGCGGAGGCCGGCTGATCCTTTTGATTCGCCAATGTTTGTTGGCTATTAACTCAGGAGGTTGTTAACCTAGCAGGAGTAGTGGTTGAGAGCCCCTGTTTGCTACAGGCGGACGACTCATACCTTTTAGGCTCCATACTAAGTTTGAGAGAGTGACTATGAGTTAACTTTGGAGTTACTCAATCGCCGTCACTCCTGCTTGAGTAGTAAAGGTACCAGGCGGCGGAGGCCAGCTGATCCTTTTGATTCGCCAATGTTTGTTGGCTATTAACTCAAGAGGTACCCCCTGCATTTATCCCAAGTAATACAGGCGGTCATCTGACTCAGATGTCAACTGCTACCACTGGTTTGGTTAGTGATAGAGTTATCCTTGTCTCAAAAACGGCTACGTGGTTGCCCTTGGGGGCAGTCGTATAGGTGTCGTGTAATTAGTTTATAGAGCAATGTTCCACCCAAAAGGGAGCTGCTCTCTGCGACGAATTTCATCCGGAGGGATGCCGCCGGACGCCTGCTATGATGTTGGGACAGGTCGTATTAGTTTTGAAGATTGGATCAGTTGGCTTGGCGCCTGGTCTGATCATTCGGCCTGTGGCCTTGGTTAGTTCTTGGTGAACGTAGGTGCTAAGTAAAAGGAGGGTAGCCGCCTGTTAGGCACAGGGTCGGCCAGGCCCTAATCTTTTTTAGCTAAGTATAAGGGGGGTGGCTGTGTGTTTGGAACCAGTCGGCCCTCTTCTATGGAGAGTAGCCGACTATATGTCCAGACGGCATGCCCCTATTGTGATAGAGTAAAATATTCAATGTAGAGTAGCCGACTGTAAAGGTACAGGC